GGGAGCCGTGCGGCAGCTCCCCACCCCAGCTCACCTCTGCTCCGCCTCCGCCCCGAGCACGCCGTCGCTGCTCCACTTCTCCCGCTTCCCAGGCTTGCGGCGCCAATCAGCTGTTTGGCGCCGCAAGCCTGGGAGGGAGAGAAGCAGAGCGGGGCGGCATGCTCAGGGGAGGAGGCGGAGCAGAGGTGAGCTGGGGCGGGGAGTTCCCCTGCGTGCCGCCCCCCCCCTTACTTGCTGCAGGCGGCCCTCCCCGCGCCCCCCTGCCCCAGCTCCCTCTGCCTAAATGACGACGACGACCAGGGCGGCCGAAGATCCGGCCGCTATGGTCGCAACCGAAGAAAATGCTGCCCCCCAAATGCTAGTGCCCTAGGCGACCACCTAGGTCGCCTAATAGGTTGCACCGGCCCTGCTGTCAAGGCTGATTCCCCACTCTGGCACTTCGAGTGTAGAAGGTGGGGGCCCGAACAGATTCTAAAAATTAATACTGGCCACTCCAGGCTTGTATTAAACTCCCAAGGTTACAGCTTTTCTCTGACCTTGGATGGGTAGATGCTGCCACCACCCAAGTGCAAAAACCCCTTTGAGAACCCAGGAAGGAGCACTTGGGAATTCCTTCCTGTGGGGTACCCTCAAGCCCTTTCACACACCCCCTCTGAGGAAGAGCTGAGAAAGAAAACAAAGGAAATCAGCTGTTGACACCAGCTAATTAAACAACATGTGCACAAACCGCTTAGGACACAAAAATTCAATCCTGTTCTTAAAAAAGGTAAATTTTATTAAAAACAAAAAGAAAGAAAATACATCTGGAAACTTAGGCTATTGCTAGATTTAAAAAGAGCAAATACAAAAATTAAGAATCAAGAATAGCCTTCTTGAAGTCCAGCTTAACGGTTACAAGCAAAACAAAAGCACCTGGGGTTAGCAGAGAGGAATCCAAAAGCAATAAAGTAATAAAAGAGAGAAACTTAATCACATCTTCCTAGACATTTCCTGATCTACTTACATATCTGGGGTTTCAAATGAGTAGTTTCTAGGTATGATCTGATCATTTTTCATACCTGGCCCAAGCTCTTACAGCAGGGAACAGCAACCTTTGACACAGGGAAATCCGCTGACAGGCCGGGCCGCTTTGTTTACCTGCAGCATCTGCAGGTTCGGCCGATTGAAGCTCCCACTGGCCACGGTTCGCTGTTCCAGGCCAATGGGGACTGCGGGAAGCTGCGTGGGCTGAGGGATGTGCTGGCCGCGTGCCAAAGGTTGCTGATCCCTGTCTTACAGCATAGCTGCTCTGTCCTGTCTCTCTGGCAGAAAAACAGAGACAGACAAAGGGGAAGTTTTTCCCAATTTAAAAAAGTTCTAGCCTTCCCATTGGCTCTTTTGGTCAGGTGCCCACTCCCTTCCTTTTACCTATGGACTTTTTAACCCTTTACAGGTAAAGCAAGTAGAGAACAGCTACTAAGAAGAATTTTATAGCTAACTGGCTGGGTGGGTATCCATAAAAGGGAGCTATCCCACCCCCCTCCATTTATCACACTCCTTCTTTTTGTCCAACAACTGCAGAGGTGTTAGTGGGCCACTCAGCCTTGAATGGTCCCTTAGACTATGTGCTAACTGCTTATGCTAAACTATCTGTTCCAACTCCCATTTAGCTGTGGCACTGGGAGTACCTTCCCGGGACCTGAAGAGTTCTGTGGCTGTGAAAGCTTGTCTCTCACACCAGCCGAAGTTACCTCACTTAAGGCTTGTCTACACTGGCACTTTACAGCGCTGCAACTTTCTCGCTCAGGGGTGTGAAAAAACACCGTCCTGAGCGCTGCAACTTTCAGTGCTGTAAAGTGCCAGTGCAGACAGTGGCAGACAGCCGCGCTCTCAGCGCTGGTAGCTATTCCCCTCGTGGAGGTGGTTTTTTATACAACGCTGCACCGCGACCACACAAGCTGCCACGGCAGCGCTGCTAGTGAAGACGTGCTAACACCATTGTCCTGGAGTCTCCAGGAATTAAAGATTAATATTCAATTAAATGTTTTGTCATGTGATGAAACCTCCAGGAATACGTCCAACCAGAATTGGCAACCCTACCCACCTTGCATCCGACGAAGTGGGCATTCACCCACGAAAGCTTATGCTCCAATACATCTGTTAGTCTTAAAGGTGCCACAGGACTCTCTGTTGCCTACCCACCTTGTCTCTCTAATATCCTGGGACCGACAGGGCTACCACTGCACTGCATACAAAGCCCAATTGCCATTTCAGAAATAGGCCAGATTGTTGCCAAATCTCGTGCAGAAGCTGCAGGAAGGGGGGCAGTGTGACTGGGAGAGGCGGGAAGCTCTTACCTCGCAGGCCTGCCCTGGGCACACCTCGCTGGCTGCCCGCCCTGCCGGCGGGAGCCCGCTCTCGGCTCCTGCAGCTCAGTGTGTGTCGGGGAAGGGGGGGGGGCGTGTGCAGCCCCCAGTGCAGCCCCGTTCCCCACTTTGCCCCAGTCTCCTCCCGGGGCGGGCTTACTGCCCAAGTCCCGGGCCTTGGCCGGGCTCGCCTCTCCCGCCGGTCGGGAGCAGGGACAGCAAGTTCCTGCCGCACTGGGGCCACTTCTAGCGCAGGAGGCCGGCGGCGGCCGGTCCGCAGCCAAGGCGGGGTCAGGCCAGGGTGCAGCCGCCCCAGAGCCGGCATAAAACCGAGCTGCGCTTTCTTCTTCCGCACCCCGTCCCCTCCTCCCGGGTTCCCGCGTCCCGCCTTGGGCCCGGGCCCAGGGAGCCGCCGCAGGTAAGGCTCGCTCTGCCCGTGCGCCGCCCTCAGCATCCGAGCTGGGAGCGCTCCGCTTGCGCGCGTTGTCCCGTCCAGGGACAGCCACCCCCCTCCAGTGAGATTCCCCCTCTCCTATGTTTTCAAGCCCCATTGGGGACCCGTTAGTCTCTGCGTCCACCAGGAAGAGCCTGCACCGCTAGCGGGACAGGGCGCTCTGGGGCATGGGGGGAGCTCAATTTCTTGCCAGCCCTGCACACTGTGCCAGACCGACAGGGTTAGAGATGGGGGACCAGCTTCTGGCTAAAGTTTGTTGTTTGTTATAGTCACTTGCTCCGACGTTCAGAACTGTAAGACATCTAGCAAATCTGTGAATATTTTCCAGGGGGTTGCATAGTTCTCAATAGGAGAACATTTTACTGAGGCTGAAAGTGCTTTGGCTTTGGGCAGGGACTGTCTTTTTATATATTTATACAGCGCCTAGATCCCTAACCGGGTCCTCTCCGCAGTTAGGCACTAATAATGAGAATAATAATAACTACATATCTCATTATTTGGGGCATATCACAGGCTTTTGCTTCCCAAAGCATTTTTGTGAGGGTAGGAAAGTACCCTGCGTTTCTGGCAGGTATGAGATTTTTTGTGCTATTATTTTGTTTTTGTTTGTTTGGTGGGTTTTTTTCCTCCACCTCTGTGTGGATAAGAAGAGTGTTGCTCCTGATATCTCTGATCATTATGGTTTGCAGCATGTTTTTAGATCTTTAATCTGCTATGTAAATCAGATTTTCTAAGGTGCAGATCTTGACTGCATTACTCACTTTTTTACTCAGTCCTTGAGCAAAACCTCATGGCAGTCAGTGGGAGTTTTGTCAAAGTAAAGACTGTAAAAACTGAGTAAGGACCTCAGGATTTGGACCCACGTGAATGTAGGGTAAATACCATAATTTATATCGTTTTGTAATATTCAGATTTGGGTGCCTGAAGTTAGACATCTAGATTGGGATTCTCAAAGCAGTGTAGGAGATTTGGATTCATATCTTCCATTATTTTAGTGAAGGATAGGTGTCTAAATCCACTAGACTCCTTTGAAAAACCTCTTCTCCAATCCAAATGAGGGCTTTTATATTTAGGTAAATGAACTTTGTACACACAGGTTTGAAAGTAATGTACAGTACTACCATTTTATTATTTTCATGTTATAATTCTATGCTATTCAATTTGAAATAGCTGATTGTTGATTCCCATTCCCCTTTAAACCGGTCTGGTTCTGTGTTGCTCTTATTGAGAGTTTGCTCTATGAGATTTACTCTGATCAGCGTGAACTCTTGTGGTGTTACTGCATTGATTCATCAGTGCTGTCAGGATACTTTTAAAACCAGTGTTAGCGATAGTAACAGAGCATTTATAACCATTTTGTTAAGTTTTGACATGTCAGTATGCCAACGATGTGATATTTAGGAACTTTAATAGCACAGACATTCATTGTAGTGTATTACTTCTGCCCGAAAAGTTTGCTAGTTAATATGACCATATTCAATTACACTAGTAGGCCTTTCTAGTGAAGTTTTTTCCCCTTGACACAACACCTTTGCTATAAGCAGGTGCTCACTGTAACCAGTAGTGCAATCTGCACATTCAGTGCATTGAATCAATTTTGAACTTTCTTTCTGCCTCACTCTAAACAGAGTTTCTTTGTATCTGAGCTGCTTACAAGTAGGTTCCAAAGTATGTATAATAACTCACTGGTAAATGTTTACACTAAACAGTAGTATGCCATATAACAAAGAACAGTGCAAGGAAGTCATCTATTTAATATTGGAGAAGATACACAAAGGTGGATGAATAGCAAAATGAAAATATAAGGGGGATTTTGGGTTGCAAAGCTTCAGTAAGATACAGTTAATTACATTACTAATCAGAGGTGATTATACCACTAATTAGAGGCCATAGAATAGCTATGTAAAATGCTTATTTGTTTTGTTTCCTTTCTGTAACTGATTCCAGTTTTGTTTATTGTTTCAACATTACTGGGTATTTTGTAGCAGAACCCAAAACACCACCTATTTGATCAGCAGATTTTTGTGCTAAATAAGTCCAAGGTCACCTAAGGAAGACAAACTCTGACTACCTTAAAGCATAGTTGGCTATGCACTGCCTGTCAATTTGTTCATGAGACTTTGTGGAGTTTTATTTTCTGAGATTCTCCACTTCTTCTTGACTTCTAGTTGGATTCTAAGACTTTCTTTTCACTTTAAAACAACGTAATTGCAGACATGTTTTGCAGGCTTAATTGTGGTTAATGCATTTTAGAATCCCAGGATTCCACATAAAAATGAAATTCTACCAAAGCTAACATAGATTAAACGTGACTCTGCTTCAGTCCATGGGCTGACATGGCTTGGGTAATAATATTAATACTTAGCACTTCAATAGTCTTTGTCTTTCCACAGCACTTTACAAACAGTGGCCCTGATCCTGCAGTCATCTCCATATTGGCAGAACCTTTTGTCCATGCATAGTCCCACTGAAGTCAATGGGGCTTTGCATGGGTGCAAGAGTCTGCCCACACAACAGATATAATAAGCAGCAGATTCAGTGGAGCTGCCTGTCTGCAGACTCAGGCAGACAGCACTGTTCACATTAGGAACAGTTAACATTCAGAAAGTCATCTTTACAAGTACAATGGGTATCAAATTAGTATGAAATCTGGATACAGTTGTAGTCAATGCGAGTGGGCCTTCTTAAAGAATCAACGTTTTCATTCTGCAGGAAGAGATGGGCCTGGCTCATCAGAGAAGATTTCCTATTGACCCTGTTGAATGGATTTTGCAAAGCCTGATTAAGGTTTTAAAGCAAGCTATTTCAGCACATAAATAACTTGTATGGAGTCCCATACAAGAAGGCTTCCATGACATTACTCATTTAAGAATTACCAAAAGTTCATACCCTTGTGAGAATTTACACTACTTTACTAGAAAAGAATATTTCATTTTCTGTAGCTACTTCATGCTGTTGCTGTAGATGTTAAAAAGCACTCAAATGCAACAATGATGGAGATAATAAATAACTTGATGGAAAATAATTTATGTTTGTGGTTCCACAACCACATAGTTTGTGGTTCCATAACCACATTTACATGTTAAATAAATACAGAATCCCTGAGAACTCTCATTAAAATCAGCAAGAGTCTCTTTTATTAGCTTACAAAAAATATAAGTTTGATGGCTGTATAAATGTTTAGCTAAGAGGATAATAATTTCTGTGAAGCCTTCATTGTCTAGGGATGAGGTGGTCAGAATTTATACTGTGTCTCACACACTCTTTGATTTTGCATTTACTTTTTTTTGGTAAGTTTAAATTGATATAATTTATAAAATAACATGACCACCTCAAGGAAGTGAAGATTATTCTACTGTACACCATACTAGTGTGTTAAGTACATGTGTTCTGAGTAGCTGCTGTTTTCACTGCCCCATTTTCCAATTTAGGTGTAACATAAACTATTTTAATTAATATTGTGTCACCAAAAGGGTTTGAAATGGCCAATTGAATTCTACCAAGATAGAGTCTTTTGATGAAAACATATCTTTATTGATTGTAGAAGAAGAAAATCATTCTTAAAATGAAATCCACAGAAAAATCATATCCCTCAGAGAAAATTTCTGAGTGGCAGGCTGAGATTAACATCATAAAATTGAATTTGTGCTGCAAACCTTTGATGTAATCAGCAGCTGGGAGATGGTGTTGCCCTTACTGTGCTCCTTCTGATTGTGGTGAATTACTGTGTGGAATGAAATAAGTGTTTCTTGTGTCACTCGTTCAAGAAATACAAACAAGGTATTACTAGGTGGTTCTTGCTAGTTAAAATGGGTTGTATTGATTCCGGGTCCCAGTCTCTTGCTCCTTTGGACTGCAGAGGCAGTACATTCATATCCCAGGGGAGAGCTGTATGTCACTCAGCAGTGACTCCTCTGGCCGATTAAGGAGTAGCATTGACAGGTCCCAAGAGGAGTCCCATTAAGTTTTAAGATGGAAGTATAGTGGCAGCCAGGCTGGGCCTGAAGGAGGAATATGAAGGGAGGAGGAGGCCTTTTAAAGCAGAACTGAATAATATATGTAAGATCCTTAGGGTCCTGGCAGGAATATAGAGGACCATTAGGAGTGAGGATGTGGGGTCGATATGTTCAGGGTTGGAATAATTAACCCAACACACCCTATCCTGATGACTAGAGTTTACTAAACAAGGAAAACATACGTCTCCATACACCCTTAGGCCATGTCCCCTCAACTTAAAGGAACCATTCAGTTGTGCACTCTCCACTGTGTATTGTATTTAATAACATAGGAATATAGGACTGGAAGAGACCTCTTGGGTCATTAAGTCCAGGCCCCTACTAATGCAGACAAACCTCTCATATAATCCCATTCATGAACTTATCGAACTCCATTACAAAACTAGCTAGGCTGTTTGCCCCAACTACTTCTATAGGGAGGCTGTTACAGAACCTCCCTCCTCTGATGGTTAGAAATTTTCAAGTTTTTAACCTGAATTTATTCATGTCCAGTTTATACCCATTTGTTTTTGTACCAACATTGTCCTCTAGTTTAAATAGCTCTTCTCCTTCCCAGGTGTGTTCCCAGTCCTTATATATGTACAGAGAGCAATCATAACCCTTCTCAGCCTATTCTAGTCTCCTCTCGTAAGATAGGCTCTCCATTCCCTTGATCATCCCGCTAGCCCTTCTTTGTGCCAGTTCTAGTTTGAATTCATCTTTCTTGAACATGAGTAACTAGAATTGTACCCAGCATTCCATTAGGGTTTTTATCAGCATCTCATATACTGACATTAATAGTTCCCTATCTTCACTGGAAATGCATCACCAGATACATCTAAGGATGGCATTTGCCTTTTTCCATGATCACATAACATTGATGGCTCAGAGTCATCCTGTGATTGCCTAAAACACTCTGGTCTTTCTCCTCTGTTTTTCTGACAGATGCGTCCCTAGCTTAAATGTTTA